GAAGATTAAAAGGTGGTGTGTAATGGAAGCACTTGGTTTGGTTTCCATCCCGTAATACACTACAGAGTCTTAGACTTTAGAAATCTCCCATGCTTTATTAAGATCCCAGCCTTTGCCTGGGTGCATTATGGTTTCCCACTGAGCGATGAGCTCTGGTGCCAGATTTCCTGGGCTTAGTACTTCATGTCTCTGTGCCTCAGTTTCCTCATCTGCCTAATAGGAATAAAAAGAGGACCTACTCCCTAGGATTGTCTTGAAGGTTAAATGAGATGATCCATGGAAAACAGTTATGTTAATCAGTTGGTCATATAACTCTCATTATTACTGCCATCACTGGGTCTGGGAGGCCAGGAGTGTAGGAATCTTGGCTACCTGCCTTGGAGCCTGACTATAGGAGCCTCTCTGTCTGACCAGGGACTCAGACTCTTGGTCCAAGGACTTGAGCCTGCAGGGACTTCAGTGGGAATTTGAGACTGGTGAGCTGATCAGCTCCTCTCCCTCCTTCCTTTTCCATTCCCTCTCTCTTATCCCTTGGGAATGAACTGGTATCCTCTGTGAGCTCTGGCCTGTGGTTTGGTGGGGAGCCAGGGCTGTGAGCATGTGCCTGGAAGGGCAATTTCTGAGCCACAGCAGAGAGGTCATCAGCTGATCACAGTGGAGGGGTAGAACATTCCTCCAGCTACAGGGCTCTTGGGGGTGAACTGACAGGGACATAGCTGATTAGCATTGCCCATACTGTGTGATCATGTGACACACACACATACTCTCTCTCTCTCACAGATATACACATAAAATATACATACACATACTCACACGTCTACACACACACACATACACATCTACACACACACACACACACATCACTGTTTCTCTGGCCCTACCTCCTTTTTCCTTCTCTGCTAACCTCCTCTTATTCTGCACACATCACCCTCTCCTTCCTCCCTTTCCATTATAACCATAGAAAACAGTCCCCCAGGGGAGGGACTCTCTCAGAGCTCTTTCTCACCAAGCTTGTCTGGGGCTCATTAAGTCTTTTTTAAGCAGGGCAGTACGTGGGGGGACTTTTAAGGGTCTGGCCTCAGGCTTTGGTCTTGGGAAAGGAGTGTCATCTCTCCTCTGGTCTTTTGCCTCCTTTCTAATTCCCCCACCTCTCTTCTCCAGCTTCATTCTGAAGCTTCCAAATGCCAAGTGAAATGTAGTTCTCATTTATCAGAAGAGTTTACCCTCAATTTTCTCAGGTTGCTCTACAATCTTAAAGCACAGCCATACTTTAAAAATATCAATGCCCATACATAATGCTGTATTTCCTTCTTTCTTACTTCCATCATTTCTTCCTTCTTTTCTCGCTTTGTCTCTCTTTCTTTCATATATTTATTGAGTGTCATGTATATGTCAGACCTTGGGTTGGTTAGTTTGTTTCCTTTACTTGTGTCTTCTGTTTTGATATTTATCACTCTAAATTAAAGCTGTTTGATTGATGTCTTTTTCCCAAGGTAATAACAACTCTTGTTTTTTGAATATACAGGAATTGTGTTAAGCAGTTTACTAATATCATTTTATTTATTCCTCATAATTATCCCAGGGATAGTAATGTTAATATTCCTATTTTATATATCATAAAATGGAAGCTTAGGGGTTAAATAAGTCACCCAGGACCAAAGAGATAGAAAGTGGCACAGTGTTATATGTCAATTATATCTCAATAAAATTGGGAAAAAAGGTGTAGTAGGAATTTGAACTTAGAAATCAGAATCCAAACTTGTGCTCCAAAGCATCCTGGGATCCTGCCTCCCAGTGGGCTGTATGTCCTGTGAGGTGAGATCTTGTCTATCTTTTTTTACAGCTACCTATTTGCAACTATCTGGTTTACACACTTACCACTGTGTCTGGCACATGATGAATATTTAATAAATCTTGTTAAATGAATGAATGAATTGTAAACTCATTCCTTGTTGCTATTTTGGCTGCAGAAAGGAGGAGTAGGAAGGATATGGGCTTGGAAGTCAGAAAGACCCAGGTTAAAATAGAAGTCTGTTCTTACTAGTGCTTTGCCTCACTTTCCTCATCTATAAAATGGGCATAATATATAGACTGTAAGACTTATGTGAGGTTTAAATTACAATGTATATAAATCAGCCAGCTCATGTGACATGTATGGCAGAGTAAATGACACCTATGTATTAAATGTACATGTGTATAAAATACATATATATTGTGTATGTGGACCCAGTGGGTTTTCAATGGTGTAGAGCCATTCCCTTATTGTTGGACACTTGAGTTAGTCTCTAATTATTTGCAAACACAAGTTTGCTGTAGACAACTTGTATAGGTATCTGTTTTCTTGTGAATTTTTTTTCCTCTTGATGGTATGGTGGGTTCTACCTGAAGATGCAGGGAATCTATACATTGATGTGGCCTTGACTATTTACTTCCCAACACATCCCAGGTAGGAGTAGAAGATGAAGACAAGGGGCAGATGTGAGGGCTGATTGAGTTGTGCAGTGGTGAGATTTTTCTGATAACAATCACACATGTGTATTTGGCAGCTGTCTAGCAGAGTGGGTCAGTGCCCAGACATTGGTATCAAACAGTTCTAGGTTCGAATCCCAGCTCTGTCCTACCCACAAATGTGTCACCTGGGCCAATGAGACCTTCTAGATCCAAGTTTTCCCTCCTGTATAATGGGAGTGTTCTTAGCCATAGCTCCTCCACGAGGTTGAAATAACACATGAAATAACACAGTTGAAATAACACATGAAAATGCTCAGGTCTAGGCCCAGCCAATAGTAAGCATTCAATAAATAGAAGTGATTATATTGATTGCAGAAGAATCACAGTTCACAATACGTTTTCCCAGTGATTTAATCCTGACACCACCCCTGTGAGGTAGGGGTTACTATGACCCCTTTTCACAGATGAGGACGTTAAGGTCTAGAGAACTGAAGTGCCAGGACCAAGGTCGATATGGAGCAAATAGTGTTTGAGCAGGGATCATAAACCAGGTCTCCAGAGACCCTGATCCAGAGCCCTAACTTCCAGCCCTCTTCCCTCACACCAGGAATTCTGGGTTCTTCTCTGGCCAGGTCTCTCAGCGTGAAACTTCAGGCTTTTCTGTATTTGACTGTTAACAACAGAATCTCTTAAACTCTCTTCTAGTTTCGAACTGGGGACAGTGATCACCCTTTCCCCAAGCCCTAAACAGCCAACGCTGAGCTCATTCTCAGTGGGCGGGGCCTGCCAGCGTTAGAAGCCACGCCCCACGCTAAGCCACTCCCACAGGCCAAAGCTCCAGCCCCACAGTGGGAAACCACCGTGTTTCCATCCAAATCTCCTCCACTAGCAACCCGCCTGCGAAGTCCCTCCCTGCTAGATGTCTACCTCTTAAACTCAGGTCCTGTCCCTGGAGTCCTGCTCTCCACCATATGCAGCTTCACCCCAATACTCGAAGCCTTGCGCCAGATTCATGGTTCTGTCTCATTCTCTTTCTTTTTTTAAAATTGGAGTATAGTTGATTTACAATGTTGTGTTAGTTTCAGGTGTACAGCAAAGCGATTCAGTTAACATACATATATATTCTTTTTCAGATTTTTTCCATTATAGGTTATTAGGAGATATTGAATATAGTTCCCTGTGCTTTACAGTAGGTCCTTGTTGTTTATCTATTTTATATATAGTTGTATGTATCTGTTAATGCCAAACTCCTAATTTATGCCTCTTCCCCCTTTCCCTTTGGTAACCATAAATTTGTTTTCTTTGTTGGTGAGTCTATTTCTTATTTGTAAATAAATTCATTTATATTGTTTTTTTAGATTCCACATAAGTGATATCATCTGACATTTTCTCTGTATGACTTACTTCATTTAGTATGAATGAAGTAGGTCCTTCCATGTTGCTGCAAATGGCATTATTTCATTCTTTTTTTATGGCTGAGAAGTATTCCATTGTGTATATATATATATATATACCACTTCTTCTTTACCCATTCATCTCTCTATGGACATTTAAGTTGCTTCCATGTCTTGGCTATTGTAAGTAGTGCTGCTATGACCATTTGGGTTGCATATATCTTTTGAATTAATAGTTTTCATCTTTTCCAGATATATGCCTAGGAGTGGGATTGCTGGATCATTAGTAACACTCTCTTTAGTTTTTAAAGGAATCTTTATACTGTTCTCCACAATAGCTGCACCAATTTACATTCCCACCAACAGTGTAGGAGAGTTCCTTTTTCTCCACACCCTCTCCAGCACTTATTTGTAGACTTTTTGATGATGACCATTCTGACAGGTGTTAGCTGATACCTCATCGTAGTTTTGATTTGCATTTCTCTAACAATTAGCGACATTGAGTATCTTTTCATGTGCCTATTGTTCATCTGTATGTCTTCTTTGGAGAAATGTCTATTCAGGTCTTCTGCTCATTTTTTGCTTGGGTTGTTTGTTTGTTTGATATTTCTTGTGCTCCCACGTTGGTAAACTATAGTTCCTGGCACTCCACTGCCATACGCAGCGCAGTCTCCTCCACAGAATCTTAGGACTGTCCCTGGCACGAGGCCCCGCCCCTAATGGCCCCGCCCAGCTCCCCACCTCGCCTGCTCCTCGCCTTAACTCGTGGCCGCCCCCTTACGACCCCACCCCCGTGTAGTTTCACACTATTTCCTTGGGCTTCTGGGCCCCTCCCCAGCCCAACTCCAGCTTGCTTGTGGCCCCTCCCCTCACCGCTAACCACACCCCTACATAGTCCCGCCCCTCGAGGCTCCACCCCCAGCGGCCGGGGGTAGGGTGGCGGCTG